ACTTCCTGCCATCTTCCCCATTGACTTTCCATGTAGGAAACTAGCAGGGAGCATTGGAAATAATAATCATGTGACTGTGGCTGATTTTGGCAGCATGGCAGTGCCGAAACAGCCACAATTCCCCCAAATTCAATTCTATGGGAGTCACGGGTCCTTGATTTTGGATGCATTCTGTAAGTTAGCCCATTGAAGGTACATTGATTCAAAAATTGTTCTCTTATGGTGCACCGTTTCACCCAACTGAAGGTTATAAACAATCAGACTTGAGAGCTTTAGTTGTATATAAATGTTGATTGTTTTACATAAGCAGCCAAAGTGTATGAAGACTTGTAATACCACAAGGGCCACCTTTTTCTTTGGTAGATTAATACTGCTGTTAGAGCAGGTTTTGTGGCTGAGGATTTTTTACGGCTCCATTTCCTAATTTGTGGCATTTTCAGACTCCTTTTTGTGCTTAGTGAATGATTTGCTCATATTCATCTTGCAAAAATGAAATGATTTCATTTTTTGTCCTCTTCATAACATTAGGGATAAATAGATTTCTGTTTTTAAATGGCCAGTTATTGAAATTAAGTGTTGAATTGTAATGGCATCAAATAATATTAAAATAGAATACTATTTAACATGTATTATATTCATCAATAAATAATCATTATATATGAAAGAAATGCTAATGACCTCATCAAAAACAGCATTAACAAAATCCACAAAGAGTGTCTCCAGAATTTATACAATTAAAGTAATACAAGATTTTAACAAATTAATTTAAGCTTTCTAAGGTATACTGTTATAATTATCAATAGCACTGTTTTTAAGAATATCTATACTGCAGCATTGCAACTATGTTTTGAGCAGGATTAGATTGAAGCTTATTTCTTTGTAGAACAATAGACAATAGACATATAAAAGACATATAAAACAGATCTTATAGCAAGTGTGTCCAGTCCATGGCCCATGCCTGGACAGCTAGTAAAGCGGCTATCAGTGCTGCTAACATCGGATGTTCTTGCTTTGACAACATATGCAGATGCATCCCTTTTCTTTCTTATGCTTTACTCTTAGAATTAGACTTAGACTTAGATGATACTGGTGTGGGGGGGAGGAATGTAATGGGAGTTAGTTAGACATAACAATATTATAATAGTGTGTGAACTCAAGAGTTTTTTGAAATAAGAGATGATAAGAAATGGGTTGGAGAACTGGAGGGAAAGCCTGCATTTCAAACTAATTGGAGAATGTGATTTATGACAGTTAATTAGAGGAGGGAATTGTGCTTGATACTATGTGCTAAGGGGAGGGGAGTTCAGATTTTGGCTTCGACCATGTACTATGCTACTCGAATAAAGATTCTTTAAGATAAACAATACCATGACAGAGGCCCCACAAGATAATAAAAATATACAAAATAAAGGAAGTTTGTTATTTATATACATTAAACATATATTTTGCATGCGGCTCAAGACAATTCTTCCTCACCCAATGCAGCCAGGCAAGTCAAAAGGTTAGACAACCATGTGTTACTCAGGGACTCAGAAAAAATAGAATAAGCTTCCTGCTGAAATATGGAAAAGCATAATAATTTCTATAGCCATCATATTTAGATATTGTCTATGTGATATTTTGGCCATTTGAAAGGTGTTGCATAAATACAATATAAGCATTGAATTGATGTTTGCTTTGTGTATTTTGCAGCGTAATAAAAAGGTATTTGAATAAACAGGTTTTGATATCATTAAAAGTATTGCTAAGTATATTTTTTCACTTCTTATTTGATATACTCCAGTTCGTTTGAGCAATATGCACAGGAAATCTTCCAATAACAAAATATATCATATTGTTACCCAATGCCTTCTTTTTTTTATTACAAAACACTTTTTAAGAGCAATGCTTTAACAAAAGAAAAGAGAATGAGGAAAACAGATCTTAGTGCTTTTTAGATAGCTGCTTTTCCCTGCAAAATGCCACCCCTCAACTTTCCTGGCCCTCTCTTATTTGGGATTCAGTTATTTTGCAGAAGGGAAATGCAGCTGACGAGAGTTTTGGAAAGAAGGAAGTGGCTAAGAAGGGAAAACCCACACTCAATTCCGCTTTTTTTTTTTTATGTAGAGCACTTTCAATTACCATGTGTGACTGCAGTGTTTCATAGAATTTAGCCTTTGGGAGAATCATCTGTGTTGTTATATCCACTGTAATAAGTTCTGATTTTATCTAAAATCAGATATTGATCATTGTGCAATAGTCTGGATTAAAAATTTATAATCCAGGATTGAGTCTATTCAGTAGTAGTTGCTATAGGAAGGGCAAATTTATTATATATTTATCAGCTATGGTCGGGACCTTCTAATCAATTTGTACCATTTTTTTCTGCATGCTTATAAGCAGCATAGTATAGGTGTTAGGGCAACCTATAACACAACCTATAAAGTTTGCATTAGGGCAAGATTATAACACATTTTATAAAGTTTGCATGGAAACTGCAGTGGGTTAATCCATATACATAGGAAAACTCCTTTAGTTCAATGTTCTTGACCTCAGCAATTTTTTAAGATGCATGGAATTCAACTCTATTCTGGCTGAGGAATTCTGGGAGCTATAGCTGAATTATCCTAGCAGAAGTTCATTTAAAGTCAGGATGCAAATTATAAAAAAAATGTTTTCTTGGATAAAACTTGAGAAGTGGCACCTTTAGGTTTTTCTTTTAGAAAGAAAAAGGTATCACTTCCTCTGTGGATTGTGTTGTTGAAAGCTTTGTGTAGATTTAAAGGTTAAGAGGGTTCCTTCAAAGGGCATTTATATATTTGTTTGCTTGTATCCATCTTTATTACTTTTACAAATAACTGAAGGTGGTGAACATAACCAACTCAAATTCCTCCTATTTTTTCCACAACAACAACAACCCTGTGAGAGTGTTAAGTTAAGGTAGAATTTGAATTCACGGTCTCCCTTTTTCTAGCCTGGTGCCTTAACCACTAGATCAAATTGGCTGTCTATTTGCTGTTGGCAACAGACTATGACATTTGTTCAGATATGTGGGAAGTCAGTCCCCCAGAGGAGGAAATATTAAAAGGGCAGAAAAATATATTTCCTCAAAGGATCTTAAAGAGGCAGAAAAACATGTCCAGTTTTCTTAATAGCCCCAAGTCTCCCTCCACCAAGCAAAAACCAGCTCTGTAGAAATGCAGGTGATAATTTTGTGAGAAAGACTGGAATCAGGAAACTGGGATTAGGAAGAAAGATCCTTAGAATAATAATAATAATAATAATAATAATAATAATAATAATAATAATAATAATAATAATAATAATAATAATAATAATAATAATAATAATAATAATAATAATAATAAAGTTGGAGGGGACCCTGGAGGTCATCTAGTCCAACCCCCTGCTCAGGCAGGAAACCCTATACCATTTCAGACAAATGGCTGTCCAGTCTCTTCTTAAAAACTTCCAGTGTTGGAGCATTCACCACTTCTGGAGGCAGGTTGTTCACCAAAAATCTAAGAGTCATCAGCCACAGCCCCAGGGAAGCAGGATATGACCTTTGAGACATAATAGGATTAACCCACCACCATCAGAATACCAGAAAGGCACACTCAGACTCAGGTCAAAGTTCATGCCACAGGAACAACTTCAAACAAAAGGCTCCAGAGGGTATAAAAACCCACTCCTTACATGTGCTCATTCTCTTTTTTCTTCCAGAGCCATTTTTCTGTCTGGCTCTCCTCTTCAGTAAACTGCAACCTTCTTTCTAAAGCAGTCACCATGTTGTTTATTCCCGGCTTGGACTGAACCATGATGAAGACTTTTCCTTCAACAGATATATTCCACATGATACTCTAGCTAGATGGATAAAACTTTGTAGTTTAAAAAGTTGTGTTTGTTGTGAGCAATATAGGTTTCAGTTAAATGATAGGGAAGAATGATATTCAGTAAGTCATTCTTTAGGATTGTATCTTGATTCTGTGCAACAAATAAGTCGCTGTTTTATACATAATTCCCTGGAGTGGCAATTTTCATTTTGATTTAATATATTCAAAAAAAATCATAATGTGTTAAAATGCAGATTTCTTTTTAGTTATAAAAATCTGATATTCCTGTTTATATAATTAGGATGTTTATGAGAGTTCGGACTTAGATTGGATTTTTGTGCTTGTGCAGTTTAAATCATCATTAAGGCCATGCATACACAAGATCTTTTTTTGTGTGTTCATAAATTTTACAGACAGCTGTTGTATTAAGTCTATACCTGTGCCATTTGAAAGTGTGTTGTTTAGTTTCAAATATTTTGCAAACAGGAAATAAACTGCTTCTTTGTAGTGAAAATCTCCCAGCTATGCTAGTTTTGATTATTTTTTTTAATGGGGAAGAATGAGGAAGCCTTATTTCTGATTATTATCAGTTTGATTCTGCTGAATTTCTTTTATTATGGGCTGCAAATTTGGCGCATTCTTTTTCAAATTTGGCAGAAAATATTTGCACAAATCGCTGTGTGTAGTTTTCTATGCCCTCTTTTCCAGTGCATTTGTTTTCACAAATATTTTTTTTAAATAGGACAATATATTTTTGTATGTACTTCCCCTTGGGTATGCTCTTCTAGATGTAATTTGAGATGGGAATCTTGCAAATCACTGAACCAAACTTTTCAAAATTCCGAGGGACCTGATTTCTCACCTTTTCTTGCAGCTAACTTCCAAATTTTTAGAAATAAAATGGCAAATCTGGATGCTAATACAGTGTGCAACTGAAATGGACTATATGCCCAAACTTGCAGTAGCAATTTTATATTCTGTTATTTATCCAGTATATTTTTAATTAATACATATGCCATAACCATCTTGTTCTGCAAGATGCCTTGTTCCTCCCAAAGCAATGGCTATGAAAACTCCTGCCACAATACTTGTTCAGGGAAGCTGCTGCTAAGACTTCCAGAAGTAACATTTTTGGAACCATGGAAGTTCTGACTTGCAATTAAATTTTAAATTCCTTTTCTATTGCAGAATATCTTGGTCTAAAGAGAACTTTTTCTTTCCATTAAAATTCATTAATTTGATCAAATATTTATTGATTGTGGGGATACTTTTAAATAATAACAGTGAGGTATTGAATGACATGCTTTGGATTTTGTTTTGATCAGACCAATTCTGCAAGTAGTTAAACAATGACCAGACAGTCTCTTTGCTTGTATTTCAGATTTTTTGTAAAAGCATCAGAAAAATTGATAGCCAGATTGATGTGGTATCTGTGGAAAATGAATTAAAGCAACATGACCAAGGCTCATTTCTCATTCTGCAATTATCATTCTCATTCTGCTAAATTGGCTCTAGTTATCCTGTGATTTTCAGCTTGTCCTTGACAAACCAGAAAGGTAATCTTTTAATTTATTATCATAGCTTGGCATTGCTAAGGGATAAGGCACTTTCTACCAAGCATCTATAATATGCCTGTTGAACTGGTTTTGATTCAAAGTAGGATTCCAATCTAGTGTTGCAAATGTCCCAAAAAAAATTCCTTTACCCTTCCATTTCTAGCAGAAATAAGGCCTTGTAGATTGTATGGCTTTGTTTTTTTCTCTTTGAAAGTTTCCTTATTATAGCATTGGGTTATGTTTCTGTATTTTTTTAAGTACAGAATATGGCAGTTTAATAAAAGCTATTGCAACATAATATTTTAGAGTGCTGAACGCCTTAGAAAATGAAACATCATGCTGTCAAAACTCTGAGGTGGTACTGTTTACTGCAGCAGTTTTTTTTAAAGAAAGACCAAAGATCCTTGGAAGATTATCAAAAGTTTCTAAATGAAAAAATCCATTATATCCTATCAATTTTCCTGAGGGATTTGCAAATTATGAGCAGTGAGCCAGCATAGGTGAATATGCCTTTTAGTGATCATTTCAAGTACCGTATTTAGGAAATCAAGGTGAATGTTTATTTAAAATTACATGTAAGTTGGAGATATGAAAAAATTTCCATGTCTTTCTACTATTGTATGGTAGAATAACAGAGTTTATAGTTACTGAAGAAAGAATTTACATCAGAGCAAAGTTTGAAAATCCATTGCTTCCTATTTTAAAATATCTACTTTGTTAGCTTTCTACAGCCTTTCCTGTTTGTTTTGTTCCTCTTGTGGTCAAAATGAAACGGATGTTAAAAATTGATGCTGCCTGAAAGGTTCAAAAAATAAACTGAAGAAAGGAGTAGAATATTTTAAATCAAGCTTGGACCTAGGATCTGATTTATTTTTCTATGTGAAGGGCTTTAGCACCAATATGAAACAAGAAAATATTATTGTATGTTGTTGCAATTGTAATTTATTTTGAATGCCTTCTTTGTTAAGAGTTTGACTTCTTTCTTTCATTTTTATTATGATTATTTTAATATGATTTTGTTTTCTGTTTTGATATATAAAATGGGTTTTCTGTATACTATTTGTTAGCTGGGCATAGTTATTTGTTTAAAATAGGTGGCCATATAATTTTTAAAAATAAAATAAGGTTAAATTCCCACTTGCAGCCAGAGTGGGAGACCTCTAGTGGAAGATAAAAGAAAAAATTGTTAAAATAATTAAAGATCTAATATAACACAGCAATCTGTCACTGCAGGATAATATGACAAGTCAGTATAGCATTATATGAAGAGACATGTAAATGTAAATATGTAATATGGATAATATTAATTTATATTAGGTACTTTTATTAAGTATTTGTTCCAGCAGGGCTTCACATCTGTCCAATACGTTTTATAAAGCATAATTTTATTTAACTTTAAAAAATATTAGCAGCTAATATTTATTTATAAACATTAATTATGTATCATTCTTTATGTAATCAAATACAATTATATTACTATTGCATAAAAGACTATAAAAGAAGAAAATATATTATATACAAACATACCATACCAGTCGGGCTTCAGGCCGGGACACAGCACGGAAACGGCATTGGTCACGTTGGTGAATGATCTCTGGAGGGCCCGGGACAGGGGTTATTCCTCTGTCCTTGTGCTTTTGGACCTCTCAGCGGCTTTTGATACCGTGGACCACGGTATCATGCTGCGGCGTCTCGGTGAGTTAGGAGTGGGAGGCACTGTTATGC